GTGGGGGGGGGGGGACCTTCCCCTTAGGATTGGTATGTTTGGTAATTGAAATGCCTTGTACGTGAGGCGACGAGTGCGTACTTGTGCTAATTGTTGGAAATCCGATTTTCTTTAAGTAAATACTAGCATGTTTCCTATCCTGTTTCTATTACTTGCACTATTAAGCCTATTGTTAGGTTAGGAAAGCATGTCTAAGTGACTTAATTGCTTTATTTGATTCAACCTGCCTTACTTGAATTCTGTGCAGCATGCTAGGCTAGAATCACTTATTGCCTTAATATGAAAATTTGCCATTTCTGTATATCTTCTTGCTGCTGCTGTGTATTTACATTGGGACTACGGATGTGGGATTCCGGTAGCTCCCCCTTGTCTGTTTACTTTGGGACTATATGTTAGATTCCCGATAGACCCCCCTACACATTTACTTTGGGACTGCAGGTTAGATTCCCGATAGATCGCCCTGTACAGTTATATGGAACTATGGGAATGCACCCGGTAGATTCCCCCAGTACTGGGTAATTACATTTAGGACTACCAATCGGGATTCCGGTAGATCCTCGCGCATTGATAGTTGGACTACGGGACGAGATCCCGAGAAATCCTTCGGACATATATATGATGGACTACGGGACGGTATCCCGGGAGATCTACTGGACAGTTGTAATTGGGACTACAGGACGGTATCCTAGAAGGTGCCCCGATTGTTATCTCTGTGTTGAGCTGTATTTCTTTCCGTGGCTTGTTTTGTCTTTATTCCAATTGTTGTTGTTCTGTCAATTCTATGCTATTTCTTACTATTGCACTTATTTATATTGTTTTATTCCACACTGTTAACCCTTATATTGTATTTAATCTCAGTAGCGCCCTGACCTTCCTCGTCACTACCCAACCGAGGTTAGGCTTGACACTTACTGAGTACCGCTATGGTGTACTCATGCCTCTTTTGTGCATATTTTTCATGTGCAGATCCAGGTACTTCTACTCAGGCCTACTATCCTTGAGGGAGACGACTACTTAGAGACTTCGAGGTACATTTCCCACGTCTGCAGACCAAGGAGTCCCTTTCTGTTCATGCTTTCTAGTATTTAGCCATTCTGTACTTTCTATTCTTATTAGACAATTTCGGAGTTAGAGCTATGTAGTATTTCTTTTTCTTAGCTTGTGATTCGTGGGTTTCCGGGTCTTGGATTTGGATATTGGTTTTTAGATTTATATATATGGTGTACGCCGAGTGGCACATTTAAACACTGTTATTGCCTTATTTCTATTTTTAAATTATTTTACTTCTGCAAGTTTTGGTTATCTTCCGCAAGTGTAGGCTTACCTAGTCGTAGAGACTAGGTGCCATCACGATGGTTCACGAAGGGCGAACCGGGGTCGTGACAAAACTTCTTCGATTCGGGATTTTAAACTGGTGACTTGGGACACCATAAATTATCCCAAGTGGTGATTCTGAACTTAAATAAATAATCCCATTTCGATTAATGTCACTTTAATTGGAAAAACTCCCATCCCTTTCGGGTAGAAAAAGGATGTGTGACAGCTCTGGCGACTCTGCTGGGGATCGAACCCAGAATCTTTGATTCAGGGTTCAAGAATTCTAGCTTAGAATAATTGTTATATTTGACTTCTGTTTATTATCTGACTTTTATTACATGCTTGGGCCTAATGTGCTAAATGTCGTTTTTTACCGCTTTGATATTATTTGAACTGTATATAAACTGTTGCAAAACCCTTCTCTTCTAATCTTCTAGGAGGTTCACGCTGGCATGACTTATTTTCTGTTAGTGTCATATCCCAATTTAGAATGAGGTTTAGGCAAATTGCAAAGCCGGATGATCTTCTGGTTACTGGTACGCTGCCCCTCTCGGCTCGAGTTGTCCACTCGGGTAAGCCAGGTCTAGAACAATACACCCAAGTTTTAAACCTAGAATAACACAGCCTCGTGACGGATCCCTAATAGGAACTCTGGTTTACATTATGTGCATTTGACTTTGGGGACTCAACACAAGGGTTGGGTCCGTCTTGGACAGGTGTATCCTAAAAATAAAAGACCATCTTAATGCATCCTATGTGCTACATGTTGCAATCTTCAAGGGTAAAAGGGGTCATTTGGCAGACCATTGAGGATAAATGAGAGAAAACAGAGGGTGGAGTGTAAAAATAAAGCAAGTAGGGCCCATTTATGTTTTTCTTTCACAATCGTTTTAAGAAAAAGACAAAAAAAATGAAAAATCCAAAAAGATTTTGTACTTTCCCATCTTTTTCCAAAAAAAATCAAAAAAAAGGAAAAAGAAAATCCAAAAAGATTTTACATGTTTCATCACTTTTCAAAAAAAAAAAAAATATATTTTCTCTAAATTAGTTATTTTTTTTAATTCTCGCCGGTATCCATTCTTTCCGAACTACACGCACCTGATTCTCGTCTTTCGGGGCATGATACGTAGGCAACGTACATAGGGACCGGTCTTCCTAGTGAGTCTTAGGTTCTTGTCTTCGAGGGTAGTAGCCAAATCTTGCATCTTTAGCCACCTTTGGCCACATCGGTCGTTTTGCAAAATAGGGCTATTTTTCGCAAAGTGGCTTGTTTAATTGTGTTTGGAGAGTCTTCAATCCAAAATTAGTTGTACTCTTATTTTAAGGTCCGTCCTTCTTGAATTTGCATATCTAGCTACTTTTAGGTCGTGTCAGCCATTCTTGCAAAATGGGGCCATTTTCGCAAAAGCGGTTGTTAACACATGTCTTAGAGTCCTAAGTCCACAACAAAGTGTCCTCTCTATTTAAGGTCCATTCTGTTGAACTTGCATGCTTAGCCATTTTTTGACCACATAGGCCATTTCTACAAAATGGGTTATTTCTTCAAAGTAATTTTTCCATGTCTTAGAGGTCACTTTTGTTGAGTTTGCACTTCTAGCCACATTTTGGCCTCATAAGCCATTTTGCAAAATAGCCTCAATCATATTTTTCATGTGTCCAATAGGAAGGCTTATTGTCTCACATAGTGTTCTAAGTCTTTAATTCTGTTTGGTCTTATTTTTCTCTTACAGGTATGGATCTACTTACCAGAACTTGAGCATGACAAACACCCAAGGACCCTCTTTGTCAAGACCGTTGCATCCAGGAGTTGCTTAAGGAGATTTTTATTTTTATTTTTATTTTTTGAGTCTATTTTTTTTGTTGTCATGTACTTTATAGTCATGTTCAGTAGTATTGATTCTTTTAGTTGGTGTCAGAGTTTGTTGTAGTATAGTTGAAATTGTCAAGTCTCGTTATCGTATTTCCTATTTTATATTTGAAAACCGAAAAATGTTATAATGAAAGCTCAAAAACATTTTTGTTTTTAGTTTATTACATTTCCAGAACTACGCTTGATCTGATTCATGAGGGACATGATACGTAGGCAACCTACATAGGGTTCGATCGAATCATCATTAAATAAAAAAGCATAAAAAAACAACAAAAAAAGGAAAAAAAAAGAGAATGAAGTTGTGGGACGTGAGAAATGAGAGGAAAGAAAAGAGCGATAAGCAAAAAGAAAAGAGGAGAAAGGAAATAAAAAATCAAGCAGTGATAAAAAGGAAAATGAAGAATGAAACGGGGCAAGAAGAGTGAAATTGGGATGATGCCATATGACCTTTGTACCTTCGAAGTCATTCTAGAACCGTTAATTGTTGCTAGGCGCATTGCACGCAATGTGATATTTTTAGCTGTTAAATACCCTAATGCTAACAGGATGACCCCATTTTGTTCCTTTTGGTATCTTCATTGAGCAGAAGGGTGGTTGGTTTGTGGTTTCTAAGTAACTCATCCATACAACACAAGGTCAAAGAGCAAGGTAGCCATGGCTAGCAAAGACTTGGACACAGGTGTTATTGATCCGTCTAAGGAGATTGTTGAGTCAGAATCTTAGTTAAAAGAAGAGGTCTTAAGGTTGAAAGGACATATGGCCGAAATATACCAAGCCTGGATTAGTGGGCGTCCTCCACCATTATTTCCTACTAACTACCCTGAAAGCCTTGTCACCATTCCGCCACTATCACAAATCCAGATTCCCACTGCTGCTGATATCTCCCCACAACCTTTTCACACTCCACCTGCCAAAACCACCTCATATCCCGCTCCTTTGTACATTCATGTTTTTGTAGCTCATCCACCAGCTACCTTTCCTCTATCCTCTAGCGAGACTGTATTCAAAATCCCCGATGCCCAACACTGTGCTCCAGAACCAACTTTCAAGGTCTCGGATCCATACTCTCATGCTCCTGATTTTGAGCCTCCCAGTGAAACTAAAAAGCCTGCTAAGATAGAAGAGCAAGATGAGATATCCAGGAATGTGAAAATCTTAGAGCAGTCTTTAAGAAACATGCAAGGGTTGGAAGGTCAGAAGAGTATTGCCTTCAAGGATATGTGTATGTTCCCTAATGTTCACTTGCCTGAGGAGTTATTGCAGCAAAATGAGAGTTGTTGGCGGGAAAGATGAGCTATTGATTGCACATTTCAGTGAGAGCCTGACTGGGGCAGCCTTGCAATGGCATACTCGTCAAGATGTCAGTAAGTGGCATACATGGGGTGACATGGCTTAAGATTTTGTTCGGCACTATCAGCACAATGAAGACATTATCCCATACCGCTCCTCCCTATCTCAGATGGAAAAGAAACCCAAAGAAAGTGTTAGGGAGTTTTAGTTCAGATGGTATGAACAAGTTGCTCGAGTCAGTCCTCCAATTGATAGAAAAGATGTTGCTGAGCCCCGCCAACGATAAGATCTAGTGGGCATTCCTGCTAAATGCTTTCAAACTCAATATCGACCCCATGAACATCCCCAAGATCCACATAATACACCCCACTATTATCCTTCGAACAACATCCAGTCATCTGTCCAACCACTAGTCACTCCCTAGGGCGAGCACCAGCATCCTAAAATTCTTATGCGCCTTCACTGCATTTTCAGGCACCCTATAACCCTAAAAAACATAGGCATGCAGGGAAACAAAGACAATGAAATAGTTTCACGCCAATCGGAGAATCCTACACAAGCCTGTTTGACAAGTTAAAACATTCTGGCCTGATTAAGCCGCTCCTCAGCTATACTCCAGACCCATATGCAAAAGGTTTTGATCCTAATGTACGGTGCATGTACCACTTTAATGTCCAAGGGCATAGCATCGAAGATTGTCGTGCTTTGAAAAGGAAAATTGAAAGAATGATTTAAGAAGGGATAATTGCGATCAAGGACAATGACAGAGGGTATGCGAATCCCTTTGGGAACTTGTTGACTGAAGTTAATGATATTGAAGTTGGTAATGGTCTTGATAATATTGATGTGGAACTCAGTGGCTAACATGCTGAGCTTGGTAATTGGAAAGACGCTCCTTTCTTGGCTAGTCGAGGATGAGTGTTGGTGGTTCATTTTGTTGTCATTTCTGTTGTCCAGGTTATTTTAGGGTTGTAATCCGGATATTGTCTTGTGACTCAAACCCTTCTATCCTTTTATTTTGCCTAGTTCCTTTAGTCTTAGTAACTCATTTAGTGTTATCTAGGTTTGTTGCAGGGTTGTAACTTAGTTTATTTTGCTTGTTTTGTTGTTCAAATCCTTTTACTGTCTGTCTAACGCAATTTTCTATTTTCTGTTATTTCTAGTCATTTTTTTGTTTAGTTCTCTTTTCCTTTTATAGTTCTTTTCATGCTGGCTCTAGTGACATGACATGCACGCATAATTCTAGGCCTGGTCTTAAAAGTTAGTTTAATCATGAAACAATAATATAATTTTGAAGATGATAGGGACATTTGAGGGAAATAAGTACAGATTTGGACATTTTGAGATCATTTAAAGCCAGAACTGTGTGAAACTGGGGCAGATAATTTGGGAAGTTAATAGGATGACAAGAATTCATTAAAGGAGAGTGCATCCCAGACAATTTGAAGCGAGCAACTTCGAGTTCAAGTGCATCTCAAGTTACAAGATAAAGTCAAGAAAGTTTTCTCCGAATTGACGGAGGATATCCATTGTGAAGAGCGAATCACCCAACGAGGGTTCTGTACTTGACAAGGCACGGTTCTGTACTTGACAAGGCACTAAAAAAAATGGAAGGCATATAAGTGATATCAATATCGAAGCTGCAAAAGAAATGTTGTATATGATCTTCTTTTTTTATTG